CCCCCCCCCAGTGCAGTCTCAAGTGGTCTCAGTTGCGGTTCTGAAATAAGTATTTTAAAATGTTTTCAAAATATGTCTGGCCCTTTGGAGAACACCCAGGACTCGCTGGAGGGATTATGTACCCCCTCTGGCCTGGGAGCGTCTCGGAGTCCCCCAGGACGAGCTGGAAGGTGCCGCTGGGGAGAGCGGGGTCTTTCTGTTGCTGGCCCCGCACCCGACAACGGATAAGCCGGCCGGACGGACAATTTATATTGTTAGTCTAAATTATTACATTTAAAATTATAACTCTAATTATGGAGTGTGATTTATTTTCAACTCAAAATATCTTCAAACTAACGAAATATAAAGTTATTAGGGAAGAAAATCAGTCTGGATAACAGCAGACTGACTGTTCGTAAAATATACTACARGTCTGGACCACTCCTGAATTTTGTTCATATCTGAAGAAAATCTTAGAATACGAAAACATTGGTGAATGCCACAAATTCTCCTAAATCACTTGTACGCACAACTTAAGAACAAATCTGTGCGTACGAACGGTTCTTGCATGAGGCCCAATGAGAGTACTTACACTGGCTGTGCATGGCTGCGCAGGGCGGCGGTGAGCAGACGGCTATTAGAACAGATCCTATTTTTGCCGGACGCCGGAGCTGCTCCGGAGTCAATCTTCAAAGATCACGTCGCACCAACAGGAAAAGGAACAAGCACAACATCCGTATTTTCAAAAGAAAACACTATTAGGTGGAATAATTTGTCAGAATAATGCCAAAATCCCAGCTATATTAATAAATATATGGATATATTTCTACACAAGTGCTGTCAGAATGTATCGTTCTGTTTGGGAAGCAGATGGAAACATGTAGCATGAAGCATATGTGTACACACACACAATACACGTGGATTTTATTTTGAAATCAGAAGTTTCAGAAAGCAGACAGCAACACAGTTTCAACATAAATATCAAAAGCTTTTATATCAATGTTTTCAGCTGTGTTTGGAGTTCGTCTTTCACAGAATTAATTATTTTTTTGCTCTGACTTCCACATTTATCACTGGATTTATCACGCAATCTCCTTCCTCCACATGCTCTGTCGGACCGGAGTGGAGCGGAGGCTGTATAAATTGGGATGCAAACGAACAGCAGCGAATTGCACACTGCAGCGCAGCGGAGCCGCATGTAGTATAAATCCGGGGTCACATGCGCAACATTTTCCTTTTCTGAACTTTTTAATTCTCCATGTTCTCTTTCTTTTCTGTGTTGAAGTCTTTAAGCATGAATATCTGTCCCTGAGATATAGGCAATGTACTGACAATACAGATCAAAAGAAGACTGACCTTTTACATTGTAAGATAAATCAACATACATTCTTGCTTAAGTGGCGTTTTTAGTGCTTGGGAATTATTTTTCCAACACAAAAGTTGTCTTTGACCCTGCGGTCTTTATAGTTTTTTGAAAAGCTTGTGTTCATGCTCTGATTTTCAAAAGACCCATGCTTCTGTGCTAAGCCTAGTTGGAAAAAATGACCTGTTGTGTTGCCATTATTCATTTCTGCACATCTTTTTCTGAAGCTTCATCACCTTTAAAAGAGACTCCTTTTGTTCAGTATCACCCTACTTGTCTGTTAAGTATCTGTGACTTAATCTCAAAAGTAATAAACTGAAGACTGTTGGCTTCTAAATTAATTTACATCAAAATAAACCATAATAAAACAAATCAAATGATTTAAAAATATTGCTACTTGATTATAAAATCTGTAAAAATAAATTAGAAATTAAATTTAGATAGGATAGTCCATCCATCCAACTATATTTTTCACCAGTTTTTCCTTTGTGGTCATGGGTGAGCTGCTGCTCTGTGCTATTCTGTTTCTTTTACAAGCTTTTCTCAGCCATCTCTGTTAAAAATAATTTTGTCTGACAGCTGATAGAATAATTTGGAGTAAGAAACAAAGAATGAGACTCCTTTGTTTCAGACCTTTACTTTTAGAGCAAAAGASTAAAGGAAATTTCTTTGATATGCAAACATGGTAAATAAACTAGTGACTGAAAGTTAAAACACACTCATTCATTGGGCTGGTTTCTGGATGGAATAATTGTAAAATGTGGCATCAAGCACAGGCAGCATCTCTTGCTATTACACTCAAAATGCTATGCTCTAATTGCTAATTACTTGATGGTAGTTTCCCATTATTCATTGCAATTAGCTTTTCCTTGGTGGTCACCTTGTAATTCTGTGCTTTGATGACCTTTTATTTCTATCAACTCCAAGGATGTTGGCAGGTGTTGTCGAATGCACTGCTTTTATATGGAAATCGCTTTGCACCCATTTACATGGGGAGCCATATTTTGCATCATTTTTAAACCTTGAGTGAGCGCTAAACCACTAAACACATAACACTCATCTAAAACAATGCCCTTCCCCTCATTGTCAAATGAATAATTAAGTTGTGTCATGTAATTGCCTCAGCATGCTGGTTGTTTTTGATATTTTCCCATTTAAATATTGTTATTCCTTGTTGCCTCACCATATTCTACTCTGTGTTGAAGGGTTTTTGAAACATTGTCAGAAATAATGACTGGCTTTTGGAAACATAATTCTAGGCACTGTTGCCTCTGCAAAGTCATTCATAAAGTATGTAGTCCTTCAACAGTAGTATACTCACATGCCATCACTGGAAATTAGTGTGTGTGTGTGTTTACTGTAGTGTCATAATTTATAATGCAGCGTGACTTAATGAAGCCATAAGCCTTAATGCATGTTCACTAATGTTGTGGGCCGGGCAGGTACAGACCGTAGTCATGAGGAGTGCCCAGCCACTACAAATTTACAGTTGGTGCTGATGAAGTGCTCAAACAAATTCACATGCACACACACATACAATAAGTGTCCAGTGTTTTTCATAAAGTTCCAAATGTATACATTTATGTTAGCACTTCAGATATGTGAAAATGTCTAGTATAAGCAGATGCACAATAGTACAATCATAGTAGATGGGCTGTGCACAGTGCCGCTACCCCTATGTGAGGGTTTGGTAGAGACAGACTGTAGTCAGGCGCCTTGGTGCCAGGGAGGCCACTGCACTTCTGTCACCGCTTCCCGAAGCCGGTGTTATGAAAGGGAAAAGGCAAAGCTGCTCGCCTCCTCGGTCATCAGTCACGGCCGCGTGCTGTTGTTCAACAGTAATTTGGGCTAAATGACAAAATATGTTCACGTCAAACAGTAATATTAAACACACACAAAACATCACTTACATCACCATCATCTGGAGATTTGTGAGGAACAGTAAGGACAGACGTTTCCCTCAGCTGAAAGTCCTTGGGTAAATTCTGCTCTGTACTGGTAGAAGTTTTCAAAGTCCATCGTGAAATTGATGTCACAAATTATAACTTTCTTTTGCAATATTGCTAGAACCTTGTCATAAAAAAATAAGCCAGGCTGTTCTCCATGACTGTTATTAAAACAGCAGAACTAACATGGTCTTTCTGTGAAGAAGTGGGCGGAGTCTCCGCTTGGGTTACCAGATGAAGGACTGGGCTGGGCTCGCCTTAGCTTTACTGGGTCACCTGGATTGTGACATAACAATCAGCAGGTTTTTGAATCAGCTCATTTGTGGACACAAACAGATCATTTACATATTGTCAAAAACATCAGGGAGTATTTTTTTTTTTTTGGCTCTTGGACTTTTCCTAGAAGCAGTACAGACCCAACTTGAAAACATGAAAAAAAAGTGAATTTTGCATAATAGGTGCCCTTTAAAACACCTTGGTGTACAAACAAGTTCACSATCAATTCAATGACTGCAAGGCTTCTATGTCTTGTAACTGCAAACAAGACCAAATTAAATCCAACATAGACATCTTCTTCATCCTTTTGGCATTAGATATAAAGTTCTGCCATTCGTCCTTCTATTGTCTTCCTTCCTTCCTTGTATGTAATATGTTGTATAATTCTTACATGAGAGACTGGCTTGGTGTTGTATGCACTAAATAAAAGTGTGCAAGTGCACTGTTTCATCTCGAGTGTAAAAATGTAATCTGTTCTGCTAGGGCGGTCCCTTCTCCTCCAATAGCTCCATTTGTTGGTCTCGGCTCTCTATGTTGACAGATGATAGCTTGAAGTCGTCTCCTTAGTTTGCCAGCTCTATGTGTCACTTTCAAGTCCCATTAGCCACTGGGACATACTGGAACATTCTCAAAATCACATTTACACTGTGCCTGCTCCTGCATGTGAGTGCCTGCAAATGCCTAAAGATATCTCCTTATATCATTCTACCACCAAATTCCATTCTGTACTTGTAGGTTTTTGCAGTGAAACAAATTCTTTTTTTAAATATAAAAATGTATTAAATATAATCAATTATGGACTTATATTGTTCTATACTTTCTTCCTTTCTTTTAGGTTCGAAGCACTGTCAACAGGATCAAGGAGAGGAGGAAAGCACTGAATTTTTCAGTATGTAATTTTTTTATGAACGTGTGTACTTGCAGGTCCATTGATGTGTGTGGGCACATATTCCATACTATGTGGGGGCCGTTTTTGGCATACATACCTACTTGTGGGGACCAACTGGCACTTATGGGGACCTAAGCCTAGTCCCCATGAAGGAAAATGTGGTTGGTGGGTTGGGGGTTGGGATTAGGACTAAGGTGTGAATTGAGTTTAGATTAGATTTAGGGTCAGGCATGTACCTGTGAGGTTAGGTTTAGCGTAAGGGGTCAGGGTTAGACTGTAGAAATTAATTGAAGTCAATGCAATGTCCCCATAAAGATAGCTGTGCGTGCATGTGTTTCTGAAAAACACTGTGACCAACCCAATTTTCCTTACAGATTTGGCTTCTCATGGGAAGAAAAAATGCTGCTCTACCAGTTCCAATGAAAGCTGGCCTCAGAGCAGCATCTGATAGCCTCTTACTAGTTGACAGTCTGTGTTAGATGCCCTTATAGATCAAACATAGACCCTCCATAATAGCCCCCCACACCACACCACCCCTTTCTCACTCTCCCAGCACCTTCATCCCAGCAATGTCAAGCTCTGCAGCGGGTTACAAGTTTCTAATCCAGGACAAGCTGTCCCTTGACATTAAAGTGTCAGGCCAGTATTTATATCTTGTTGGACGTTGCTGTTAAACTGAAACTGTGAAATGCTGCAAGTGTGTGTTTGTGTGCAAGTGTTTATGTTTGTGTGTATGGAAAGATAACTGCTTACACAATGTTTTTTTAAAGTATTTAAGTGTAACTCATGCAAACATGCAACTACCACATACAAATGTCCAATTTAAAATCTTTAAAATAATTTGTCTTTCTTCTCTGTCAGCCCTTTGACTTGTAGAAAAGTATTTCAAGTTCCTCCTTAATTCCAGTTAGAGCTCAGGATGGATTTTTAAATTCAGTATGCTCCTATGACTTCTCTTTTTAGTAATTATGAGATGGACACAGTGAGAGCAAATTTAGTAAAAAAAAAAGTAACGTGTGGGTGTGTCCATGTGGGGAAGGTGGGTGTATGTGGGGGGCCTGCCACCATGTGCACTCTGATATATTGGCTCCTCATGTTATCAGTGAGGGACCCCCATCTAGCATCATTTTTACTGCCTTTTCTCCCCTCCCGTGGTGGCAATTTTCCAATCTTACCAGGTTCCACTGCCAGAATATGTTTTTCGAGCCATCACTGGTGCCTGATGGTTTTTAGCTAATGCTATTTTGTGCCATAAATCCTGCTTGAAGTACTGTATCTCCCAGTCCTTTGGTTAGATCGTAGACATTTGGCTTTAGATGACCGCACATGCCCCTATATATCCGCTTGTTGTAAAACATCAGATTGGGTATTGTGCAATTCCCAGTAAGTGGGTAAAGAGGCTTTGACAGTGATACTACATATGGGGTCATTTAAAGATAAATTGCACTTCTTGTAGATAAAAGATTTTATGTGGTGTAGTATGTGCCAAAGAATTAATCCATATTATTCACTGAAACTTTGATTTAAAGTAGTTTAAATAAAAAGACTATTTAAAACCTTTTTTTATTTTTGTTGTCTTATCAGCATCAGGAGAAGTAAATATTAAACCTTATATCAGACATAATATTCTAGCACTATAATAATGTATGTGATTGGGATTTTCTGCCAAAGTAAATTGGGTAGGATCCACTTGTTTGCTTTATTTAAACAACTATACAAATACAAAAATTTTAAACTAGAGCCAACTGTTTGACCTACATATTGGTCTTTTTTGCTCTGACATGACAAAAGTAACCTTGACTTTATCTTATCTCATCTTAAACTGTCTCGTCTTTAATTCCACACCACTGTTGACCTCTTCAGASCCCTTTCTTATTGTGGCTCTCTACACAGGTGCTGATTTCACACACAATTTATTATTTTTTTAACCCCCCTGGTTATATATGTACTCACATTTACACACTTTTAGCAGTGCTGTCGGCCCGTTTGACGCTACATACATTCTGACCCACCCTGACCTCCCTCTCATTCACAGACACCCAGATTGCTTTGTGAAATAAAGCTGTCAGTTGCAGAGTTCAAATAAAAAACACCGCTCCAACCTCCTCCTACCCCTTTCTCACTACCTCATGCCAATGACATCACTGAAATATTTGTGTAAATGAGAAGTGGATTACATTTTTAAAGTTTTTACATAATGTGTAAAAATTCACACTGGAAGTATTAGKGATTGTTCAACTTGAATAAAGTATATGTTTATGATTAAAAAGTTGAATAGGACTGGAATGCCATGTTTCCTAATGCAGAGTAAGAGCTGCCTGTTAGTTGGAAGAATTTACCTTTAATAAGCAGCTGCACATGAACTGAGTTTGCATCTTTGCAGTTGTTTGTGTTAAATGCACTGAAGCAGAATCAAAAATTCACTAAAGAGGACTATCATGCAATGCCTGCCTGTTAGCCATATGAAATGTTCCTGCTTTTTGAAGTACATACAAGAGGCTGTGGAGCCTGTTAACCCCCCCCCCCCCCAATCTGTCTAGGAAACACGCAAACAAATGGTTTTTGTGTGATGGACATTTATTTGGGGCTGCCTCAAAGATGTGCATGCTTCTGCAAAACAAGATTTCTAAATAAAATTTACACGTGAGCTGCTCATGCTTCATGTTGGAATTACAGAAAAATCCTTACATCAATCAACAACATGTTTAATTATTTATTGTAATTAGAAACTACAGAATAAAATATCTGAAGAAACTTTTTCAGAAKAACTCACAGTGTCTTGTAATTTCTTCTAGAATTGTGCCAGCTCCCGACCGTCCAGCTCAGTTACTAATTCCCGTCCTGCAAGTTTGCCCCTTGAGACAACGCAGAGTCAGGAGGAGGAGGAAACCTACTCAAGCAGTATCACACCATGCCTTGGAAAAGAGGAGGGGAACAGAGGTGAGTAGTCCCATTAATACATGACAACTTATAGACAAGTCAGGCTTTTGTTTGTGATGTATAAATGGTGTGAAGGCAGTATTGTTTTGTTTTATTTGACACTTTTGACACTTTTACTCACATTAACACACACCAACTTTAAACTTTCATGAAATAAGTCATCCCAACAAACTGGAGTTTCCTCAGTCAATATTACTGTTTGTTGAAAATAATATAAAATGAAAAACTATGTCAGAAATTTTAATAATTTAGAAATTTATTTGTATGTTTTTTGCTGGGCAAATCTCTAGCATCTGCCACATGGTCAGTTAAGGATGATGGTAACTAGACAGTTTGTTTCTCAGAATAATGGGCACTGAATGAAAAGAAGTTACATCAAATTTCTGCTAAAGTGTATTCAGGCAATCAAGATGCAAATTAAATAAAAACTATTTAATATATTTAGCATATACTATATTTAATAAAACTAAACTAACATTATTTGATTTGTTCTGAGATATGTGTTAGCTTCCTATATTTACAGGTTTGTTAAATTTGCAATTTAAATCATTTGTACTGTGGGGCCCAAGGGTTTGTGAAAATAGTTGTTTTAGTGTGTATGTGTCAAAATATCACCAGATAGCCAAACAAAAATAACAGAATTAAATAAAACAAACACATTACACTTTTTATTTGTTCTTTTAATTTGTATTTGTCCTGTGAGACATATGTTTGTACTCTGACATGGCAGCAGGTCACAGTATTGTTTGCTAATTTCATTACTATGCTAACCTTGCATCCTGAATTGCACAGCTAGCAAAAACAAACCAGGATGTTGCAAGTTTCAAGGGGTTTAGAAAATTTGATTGTTTCTGAATAAAATTATCCTACCCATCTGTTTCCCACTGGCATTTCAAACAGGCATTGCTGCAAGATATTTCACAATAGAGAGTAGTGGCTGGCCTATTCATTGAAATCAGACATAAAAAGTCCACTCTTAAACGTTAACACTAACCAGACTCCCTGGCTTTGGTACAGATACCTGACCCAGGCTGTGCTCTGCAGAGTTAAACATCATTTCACTGTGGTAAAAACTGGTGGTACCAGTTTCAAAGAAGGGCAAGAAAGAGGGAGAAGTTCATTCCTGCTTTCATTTTGTAATTTAAAACTGGTCATTTCAGTTTTGGAGTTGATGGTTTACACACAGAGTACCTTAATTTTTACCTGTATTAGAATCACTTTATGATAAATAACTGACAAAACAACGAAACAACTTAATTTGTGCTTCCATTTTCCTTATTTTATATGCACAGCATTTAAAAATTATTTCATATGACTCTATGATGACTGTGTTATCATCAGATCTGTAAGTGGGAGACCACTTGTTAAAAATCAGTGTTTAGTGTTAACATGACTTTTTGGAAACTCATGTATTTTGTCTATTGATTAGAGCTGTTTTGACAGTGAAAGATTAACTGACATCAAGGTTGAATCTCTAAAAAACATGAATTTATAAATCTTAGCATTTGGATGGTGACCAATTTAGTGTAAAATATAATTTTTACATCTTCTTGTAAGTATTTTAAAGTGTCAAAAAAAAGCTGTTTTGAAATTGTCTTTTTTTTTGCTAATCGTTTTAAATAATTCACAATGAAAACAATTGCTAAAATATGACTTAATAGAACATGTCTACAGTCTGTAAATGTGATAAAGGTAATGGTTTATGACTTGTATAATGATATTCACATTTGTAAAGTACATGTGCTTCTGTGTGTTATTGCCTCTTATTGCCGCTCTGAGCACCTCTCAGGCTGATTTACAACATTTCCTTAGCAAGTGATTTGCATGATCCTCAGCGTTATTACTGTCTCTTCCACTCAATCTGTGCACAGTTGTTAAATCAGTCCCTATGGCACATTTACATGCTGAGCCGTCAGTGCAACCACGCACATTCAACGGAGCAGCAAAAATAATGTTTCTGATTGAACACAAATGCAGAAGTAATCACTCGTCAGATGATATTATTTTGCCCATTTGCTGCTCCTCTGGTTTGCTTCTGCCTCAGCACTGCAACATGCAAATGTATCTGGTTCATTAAGTGCTGAGCCTGAAAATGGCTTCTACTAACATCTTTACACCACTGTTCTGCTGTTACATGCAGCAGGTAAAATGCAGTTCACTACAACTAATCATGTCAAATTTGTTCGAAAAATTTTGTCAGAGTCTGACTGATAAATTGTGTTTTTATCAAAAACTAGTGATTATAGACTCCACATAAAGCCAGTGTTTGTCGCTCTGTAGATCGAAAGAGTATTTTTCAATTTTTCTGTTTGTTCAACTCTGTTGGCACAATTATTAACCGTAGGCTCTGGGTTATGTTCAGGGTACATGGGGGAAATTTTGAACAAAATGAAGCACATATTTGCTGAGAGCTAAAGAGAAGGACAAGTGTGTAAAGAGGAGTAGGAGGTGAAGTGTAGTATTGAAAGGGTTGTGTGGGTGTTTATGTGAATAAGTGTTGCATTTCTGATGAGAAGGACTCCAAACAATGACTGAGTTGAAGGTTGCAAGCCTTTTAAAACAGTAACAATACACTAGGTCACCAGTGTTACCTCATGTCATTTCTTACATTGTTAAATCCTCTTACACTGCAGCTAAAGACCACCAATCAGTTATATTTCTTGTATATTTCATTTAGAGGCCCAGAGGTCACTGAGTTTATCTCTTGTCTCTTGCGCTTTGAAGATGGTTTGAATGGACTTTACATACATTTGGTTTTCTTCCCTTTTTAAAAAGATTTTTTCACATCCAGTTTCTGTCATACAGAAGCTTATAAAAATTATTCATTCACTCATTTGGATGTTTTATGCTTTTGTTGACTCAATCATGGTCAATATTAAACACTTTCTTCAATGTCAAAGTAAAATCTAATTTCTACACAGTAAAATCACTAACCCTAAACAATTTCATGTAAAATAAATGATTGCTTGAACATTAACCTCATTTATTTAAAAAAAAAAAGTACATGGGTACAAACTGTTTTTCATGGCAACACCTCCAGGAGTTCTGTTTAATCTATCACCATGAAACAGAAGGATTATGGGACATGTGCAAGTCTAACAAGAGCAGACTGTCCTCTCAAACTGAGTGACTGTCCAAGAAAGACAATAGTGAGAGTGGTCATCAAGACACCAATGACCACTCTGATGGAGTTATAAACTTCCGGCAGGTGAGATGGGAGGAACTGTGCATATAGCAACTGTTGCCCAGTTTCTTCACCAGTCTTAGCTTTATGCAGAAGTGGCAAAGAGAAAGCTACTGTCGAAGAAAACGGTAAATCTCGACTAACGTCAGCTGCTGAGAAGCACTTGACCATGAAGTCTTCCACATGCCATCAAACCAACAGGCTTCTGATAAAGCTCAGACTAGTGAAGAATCTGGGCAACAGTTCTTGTAAGCACAATTAATTTATATTGAACATGATTGATTTCTGACGGCAACAAAAGTGCAAATCTTCAGAGGCGGTGAATTATTAAAGGCCTTGTAATTGCTTAGACTTATTGTTTATGAATAGCATTTCACCAACAGTCACACAAATGTTTTTGGCTTTAATGTGCAGTTTTAATTTAGTTTCTGAGCATTTATGAGATCTGCAGTAGATACAGATTCTTGATTATTTGGATTTGTATGCAGTATATTATTTGTTTATCTCTATTGCCTTTTGTCTCTTTTATTTAAAAAAGTATCTTGCAGTACAGGCTTGTGGTGTCATTTCCAGTTGAAGAAACCCATGTCTTATGAAGCATATCCCAGCACATTGCTGACATCTGATACCATTTCCCTTCTTTACATACTCACATGTGTTCTCCAGCATCTCTGGCAATATGGAGCCTTGAAAATAGAAAAGAGTTTAGTGGTTTAGTGCATGCATCTTTCACAGATTACACACATACAGTATCTTTGCTGGCACTACTACAAGTTTGCCTCCCATTTACTTTTTTACACACTGTCATGCATATTTAACTAAACTCATTAACCTGGATTGGAATTGACTGCTTATTTTTTGTTTTGTTTGACTTTTTAGTGTGTTTGTTTTATTTTTATCCTCTCAAACTGTTTTCACATTTTGTGTTTGGGTTAAAACAGTTCGACCACCAGTATTTTAGGACAGGATTAAACAAGTGAGGAGGAAAATTTGTTCCACTGGGAAATGACATCACCTTGATAATTATTGCTGCAGAATCATAGACACCAGAGGTGAGGTGTGCATATGGTTTTGTCTGTGTGACAGAGGAATTTGGCATCCGAGAAGCAGCTTGTGTTCTGTGTCTAACTGATGCAAAGTGATGTGTACTAATTCTACATCTGCTCTAACCAAACAGGGTTTGAGAGTTCAGCCAAGTCCCAAGAAAAATTACTTCCTTACTACTTATCTTCCTCTGCCCTCACTTTGGATGAATTAAACTGTATTTTCTCTGCATCCTTTTTGCATTTTGATGTGATGGACAACTAACTGGATTGTATTTTGCATGTATGTGTATGTAGACTGATATTTGGCTCAGCTGTTTAAATGATGTGTGGCCCTGAAATAGGCTCTTGTCATGTGGGCTGAAGCTTTGAAGAGCTGATTATAGCCTGACAGTGTAAATACCCAAACAAACAGGCAGTGGTTAAAATGTGCTATCATTTTGCCATGTATTTACATTCCTCTTTCTCTCTCAACTTTGTTTCTGTCAATCTCAATCTTGCATCTGATTTGTTGAATTTTTTATTTACTCCTTAGCTTTTTTGTCTACATTCTTCAGCTCACTATTTTTCGCATCTCCCACCCTATTCTCATTCCTTGTATTCTTAGTACTGGTGAATGATAAATGTAACATCTGTTGTTTTATTGCTTAGTTTGATGGAGGACATTCTTGTGGCAAGAATTAAGATTTTAAATCACTTGTTTATCGCATCATCATTCATTGTAAAATACCTCAAAACACTTTGTAAATCATTTAAAACACTTAAACAGCTAC